ACCTATACTAACTCTCTATTCTTCTTACCCAAGTTTTCTCGCATCCAACTCAATCTTAAATTTTTCCATACACCTATCACTTTAGAGGCTAGATGTTTGTACGCATACGAGTCTTGATTGTGAGGGATTAACCAAGGCAAGTGCTATCCTTATCTAGCCCGAGATGAAACTCTACATTAGGGTTTGTCCCTAAATATATCAACCATTAAGTAAGATGTTGCTTACCTTCTTTGAAATGCATGGCAAAGTTGAAGAAGGATCGAGTTGCTTACGTCTCTATATTTAATTTAGAATATGTTCATTAGTCATTATTACATGTGGATTATAATATTTTTAGATGTATGGCTGAATGGCTTAAGAGGTTTATTTTTTCTTTTATTTTTTTATTAGGATTAGGGTTGAATATCCTTGCCCATTTAGAAAAGATTTTGCCGTAATCTATGGTGTCCTAGTTGGCCAACTTTATGAGTGAGTATTTAAACATCCTTATGTAACATGGAAAAGAACTTTTTTTTATTGAATTATTGAAAAAACTTTATGCAAGTTTTCTCCGAACTTTCATTGTCCTTGTGCTTGGCTTAGGAATTTGTTTCGTATCATTGACTTAATCAATTAGGATAGTTATCGATCACTATTTTCTAAGATTATAATATGGTTTTAAATCTCACTAAAATCAACTAAGACTTGGTTATTTTTATGTTGGTAAGTTTTAACCAATTCTAAACTTTAAGTTTTGCTAGTTTTTGATTTTGTAAAAATTTTGGTTTAGATTGCTTATTGATTGTTTCTTTGGCTATTATTGTATTGTTGGTTTTGTTTTTTGGGTTTATAGTTAAGTTTATTGCATTATGGTTTCGGCTTGTTGGTGTTTTATTGTTGTTGATTTAGCTATATTAATAATCTTCACGGAATCAATGTCAATATGGTGTCATAGGCGAGGTTTGTTTTCAATATACGTAATCTAAATCATACAAGGAAGAAGGGTTAGTGCATCTTTAAGGGTGCATACAGAGGAGATCACATCAAGACCTTGATGTTAAGGCGTATATACCTCATTTTGAGAGAAAACATAACCTTGACAATTTCATTAAGTGGATGCATATGGTGGAGAGAGTGTTTGACTATAAGAATGTGTCGATCTAAAAAAAATTATTATGGAAATAAAGTTGAAAAAATGCTTCAATGTGGTGGAAGAACCTAAAAAGGCGAGAGAATTTATGAAGGTAAGATCAAGATTTTGGTTTAAACAAGATAAAGAAGGTTATGAATCATAGTTATTTGTCCGATTAAAATAGATAGAATATTTTACTATTTTTTTTCTTTTTTGCTTTTTAGTAGAGAGAATTATGTATTAAGGCTTATGTTATAGAGTTTGAATAGTCAAAACTTAAATGTGACATTAATGAGCTTGCGAGCACATTGTTGAAAGATTGAATAGAGATTTCCTATGTGGTATAATTGTAATAGTATTGGACTTTACAAGATGTTTTTAAATTATTATTAAACATGGAACATCATTAGAAATATTCAAAGTGGAATGATGTAAGGATCTTGACTAAAGAGACAAAATCCATAATTTTGATTAGGCTTCCTCAACCTAGCCGTGCAATGGTTCGATCAAAAGGAGAAGAAAACTCAAATGGTGTCAAAAGAACAAACACAACTACTTTAAGTGTCATAGTTTAAGTCATATTGCTTCCGAATGTCAAAACTAAAGGGCGATCAATCTCATAAAAGAGGCCAATTGTGTTAAGGAAAAGGTAGAAAAGGTAGTGATGAAGTCGAGAGAGAGGAATATATTTATGTTGACGAGAGAGAGTTATTGGTGGTCCAAAGAGCACTAAATGTTAAGGTAGTCAAGGATAAGGATTAGTGAAAACATAATATCTTTTTCACTTGTTGCACATCACATAGTAAAGTGTGTAAATTGATTATTGATAGAGGTAGTTGTGAGAATGTAGTTTTTTCAAAGATGGTTAATAAGTTGAGTTTGCCAACTAATGATCATCCCGATCCATTTAAGCTAGCATGAATGTAAAAAAAAAAATGAGCTTAAGGTATCCAAGAGTTGTCTTTTATTGTTTTTTGTTGGTTTGAAGTACCAAGACAATATATGGTGTGATGTGGTTTTATAGATGCATGCCATATTTTTTTAAAAGATCATTATAATGCGATAGACATGTTGTGCACAACGGGTTCAAGAATAATTATTTATTTGATCTACATGGAGAGAATGCCTATGAAGAAAGAACTTTTAATAATAATAGTCAAGGAAAATTAGTTTACGAGTCAATGTTCATGAAGGAATCGAAGAGTATTAGGATATCGATAGAGAGATTAGTGAAGTCGGCTTTGTTGGTGTGAAAAAGATGAAGAATTCCAACAAAAAAAAAATGGCAAGAATGATATTAAAGTTGTTAGAAAATTATTTGACTTGTTTCCACGTGATGTTGCTCTTCAAACACAATGTAAGTTTATTGAAGAGGAATATAAGAAGCAAAATGTTGTGGAAGTTACTATACTTGTCTAGCAATACAAAAACATAAGAGCAATTGTTAGTTGTTGTCACGATAGAAACAACACCGACTTGTAAAGGCCGAGAGCGACAAGATGAGTCGTCGTTAACCATAATGATGAAATCAATTTTAAATCACAAATACACAAGGTGATTTTCAAAATATTATTACTACATGTAATAAAGCATCGAAGTGAAGTGAAGTCAACCATGAATCATGCTTGTGGTAAAACAAAATAAAACAAAATATAAGTCCTATAATGTTTTTCAACAACTAGAAATTTTTATTTAATGCACCAAAAAGGTGCTATTATTTTGCTTGGAGGATAGTGGCAACTCTTATCTATCACAAAAACTCAAACAACAAACCAAAATTTCAGTAGTAGATAAAAAGATTGAAGAAACTATTACAAACAAAAAAATTTCATGACGAGTTAAGGGAAGGCCTTGTGGAAACTTTTTGTGATTATCAAAACAATGGAAGCATAAAGGAAGAAGCACGGGAGAGCTTGTGCAAAAAGGAAACAACATACGATCTTATCTAGAAGCATCGATTTTGTTAGTATTGTCTAGTTTATGAAGACAATGATATAATTAGATGTGGAAGAACGAGAAATTACTACAAAGCTGTATGATGTTCTTGTTGATTAATGACTTCTCGTTAAAAGTGATATGGTGGATTCAAGACCTTGATTTAATGGGAATGATTATGGTAGAAAGTTAGTAGTAACATCAAAGTATTTTATGAAAATTCAAGACGGTATTTTTGAGAAGGATGATTACGTAAATACATATTACTTGGAGATTCATATGCAATCTATGTAAACTTAGGAAAACATGGGCTGAATCAATTTGATTGAGCTACTAAGAGACCAAGGCCGAAAAGGTTCAAACTTAAGGATAAGTTTTTTTTTTCAATCTAAAGAGTTTGACATGAAAGTGATTGCCTAAGATCATGAGGCCAAAAATCCAATGATAGTTAGACATGTATGGATCAAAAGTTATAGCCTTAGTCATTTTAATTATGTTTGTTTTTAGTTGTTTTGTTTATCCTATATGTGTAAAGATTCTTTTTATAGTTGGATTTATTTTGGTCTATTTGTGTTTTGGATCCAAACTTAGTTAGAAGTTCATATTTAAATCGTACTAGGTTTATTAGTTCTTATTGAATTTGGATTTGACTATTTTTAGGTATGTACATAAAATAGCATAGGAGGTTTATTTTTTCTTGTTAGAGTTAGGGCCCAATATCCTTATCTATTTAGGAAAGGTTTGCCACACCTTCTAATGCCCTTGTTGGCCAACTTTATGAGTAAATATTAAACATCCTTTCGTTACATGGAGAACAATTTTTTCTACTGAATTATTGAATAAACTTTGTGAGAATTTTCTCTCAAGTTTGCATGTCCTTATGCTTGGTTGAGGAGTGTGTTTTTGTATTCTTGACTCGATCAATCATGGTGGTGCTATCGGTTACTATTTGCTATGGTTTTAGAGGGATTCTAAACCTCGTCAAAATCAACTAAGACTTGATTAATTTTGTATTGATAAGTTTTGGCCAATTGTAAAATACCAGGTTAACTAGTTTTTGGTTTTGTGGAATTTGTGGTTTGTACTTGGACTATTGTAGCATTGATGGTTTTTTGCTTCATATTTATTGATGAGTTTGTTGGATGGTGGTTTTGGCTTATTGATGTTTTATTGCTTGTTGATTTGTCCTTATTCAATAATCTTCAAAGAATTGGTGTTAAGATGTTTTGTTGACAAAGTAGGTATTGAGAATTCTAAAATAAAAATGAAACTAATATTTGAACTTAGATGATTTAACACCAAAAAAAAAAAAAAAAAAGCGCTCAACTAGCATTAAAAACTCTCTCTACCAAAATATAAACAACTAATGAATCAGAAAGGCAAAAAAAAAAAACAAAACAAAAAATCCCTTTCGTACATATTACTTAGAAAGACAGGAAATTATCGTTTTCTCTTATTCTTTTTTGTCTAAAGATTAGTATTTTCAAAGTCAGGGAGTAAAGTGTGATCGGAACCAAGTTTGAGGACTCTTTTTGTAAAGTTTTATACTATAGACGCAAAAAATACCGAAGCGTCCATCTCCATTAGCTGTCGTCGTTCAAAAACCCTTGAGGACTTGCCTCTCAGCAGTCCATTCCAAATTCCATGCTTGGCTCCGCTGAACCAGTTAGAAAGAAAAGAAATCGGCCCCCTCTTATCTCCAAATCTCTCTTAGCAAACACTAACCAAACCTACAACACTACTAAGGTAAGAAACTCTAAACGATACTCTCTTTCATTCATCTCTAGTGAGCTTATCGTACTTCGGCTTTTTTTTCTTTTTTTTCATTTCACTCTCTATCGATCACTACACTTCATTTCTCCTCAAAATAGCCATGACCCATTTGCACAAATTTAAAATTCTCGAAAGGGTTTCTTCCAATTTTATTGGTAGCAACAAAACCTCATTGTCCACAATGGAGTCGTTATTGTACGTTGCAGAAAACCCTCGGTTCTATAGGACAAAGAGAATAGTTCAAATTGAAAATGGGCAAAGCACTAGGCCAATTTCTAGAACAGAAGCTCAGGCTGCATTATTAGAGTATTTGCATGTTACTAGAAACTTACGGTTTACGGATGCTGAGAATATGAGCAAAAATGCACCTCGTTTTCTTGAAAAGTTATTAGCAAAGGTTGACATTGATGCAGATATTGGGCACTCAATTACCCGTTTCTTGCGTTTTCACCCTATTAATGAATTTGAGCCACTCTTTGAGAGTTTGGGTCTAAAACCTCATGAGTATAATCCTCTGCTTCCACGTGATCTGATGTTTTTATGTGATGATGATTTGCTGTTAGAGAACTATCATGTTTTGTGTAATTATGGGATTGCAAGAACTAAGATAGGAAAGATTTATAAGGAAGCAACAGATCTTTTTCGGTATGATTATGGGGTCTTGGTGCTGAAACTAAAAGCTTACGAGGAATTGGGACTTAGCCAGTCTTTTATGATTAAGTTGGTTGCTTGCAGCCCTTATCTTTTGATTGGAGAAGTGAATGTGGATTTTATCAAGGTATTAGAGATATTGAGAAAACTGGGAGTTGAGATCAGTAGGATTGAGGAGGATTTGTCAGAGAACAGTTCTTATGACTGGAGCAAGTTGCTTGCACTGCTCAACTTATTTAGGTATGCAGGTTACAATGAAGAACAGCTAGGTGGACTGGTAAGCCAGAATTTGGGGATTTTCTTTGGGGATTCGGTGGATAGGATATATTTGTTAATTGGCTTCCTCGTCAAATTTGGATCCACTATGAATCAGATATGTTCCATGTTTTTACAGTTTCCGCAAATGCAATTTGAGAAATTTGTTTCAAATTTAAGGCATTGCTTTCTGTTCTTGAATGAGATCGAGATGGAGGTACATGAGATTGGGAATATTTTCTCTTCTCATACGCCAATGCTGGGTTCATGTAGATTGAAGAAATCCAGCACATTGCGTTCTGAATTAAATGCTGCAAATAAGCGATTGTGTGAAGTCATCCAAGAGAACCCACAAGTTTTGAAGAAATGGGGGATGGGATCTAAAGTTGAACCATTGCCAAACTCGATACTAAAGTCACAGATGCTGAAGACCAAGTTCTTGTTGGACTTGGGAATTGTAGATAACTCAAATAAAATGGAAAGAGCAGTTAATGTTTTCCGGGGAAGTGGAGCAAAGTTCCAAGAGAGGTTTGATTGTATTGTGGAAGCTGGTTTGAGCAGAGAAGATGTTTGTGAAATGATAAAATCATCCCCTCAAATTCTTAACCAGTCGAAGGATGTTCTTGAAACGAAGATTGATTTTCTTGTAAATAAAATGGGTTTTCCTGTATCATCTTTGGTCAATTTCCCGTTTTGTCTAAAATACACAACGCAGAGAGTAGAGCTTAGGTTGGCAATGTATAATTGGCTTAAAGATCAACAGAAAGCTGATCCCATGCTATCCTTGAGCACTATCATTGTTTACTCAGATAAGGTTTTCATTCGAGAATATGTAAACCGTCATCCTAGAGGCCCTGAAATTTGGCAGGATTTGAAGAAAGCAATTTATGCAGAATCAAGAGCCTTTTGCTGGACATAGCTTGTACTTTCATTTGTACTGTCCATTGACAGGGAAGTTGTGAAGATATTGGATTCTGTAACTTCTAAAGGCGGAAAATTTTCTATGATAATGTATTGGCCCATTGTATAACGAAGGTAATATAAACTCCTTGCAGAAGCCTTCCCTGCATCAAACTTATACTAACCCAACACAATCTCAAGTATTCCATGGAGTGGTTGCCTTGGAGAACGACCACTCTGGATTTTGACGGCAACACCCGTGGATTGGAAGATATATCCGTATCACCATCCTAAATAGCAAGGGTGAACTCTCTTCCTTGCCAGTTACTTTTCGTATGTTCTTCGAACAATTTTTTTTTTTTTAATGACTACACGCCAGTCGTTAAGCATCAATGATGAGAACCTTATTTTTTAATTTGAGCAAAATTTTTCATGTTAGGGTTTTTGGTGGATGTTAGCTGCTTTAATTTAGTAAAGAGTTCATTGGAATAGTTGCTCACATTTACACTGACCAGATGAATTTAAGGATGGGAGAAGCTTATTTACGTTGCAGCTCAGGACCTAATAAATCTCTCTACGAAGTATGAACTGAAAAGAAAAAAGGTTGAACTCGATAACGTACTTCAGTAAGGGCTTGATTACCTGAGCCTACTATAGGAATATCGAAGATAAGTTGGCTCTTACCCATCTTCTTTTTCTTTCTTTCTTTGAGAACGGCTGGATTTAACTTTATAGGTTAATATACGAAAAATATATACAAAATTACATAGATTTGTAAATTACAAAGAGAACCAGTTTCTGTAAATTTCAGACTATATTTTTAACATGGCCAAAATGGACAATTAGGTTACAGGAGGTGAAAAAATGCTATCAAAATTCTCCATTATTTCCAAGGAAAAAATAAAATAAAATAAAACCTAAAACTTGTGTGTTTGGTTTTTTTGACATGCATATTCCAGAATTTTACAGAAAAAGCTCCTAAGGCCATCTTCAGGGCAAAGAGGGCACCTCGGTTAGAGCAAATTGCATAAATATCACACTGTAGCGGCATTGTACCATGTACTAGGTTTTTTTCAAACTCAATACGACACTTGACTCACTTCACTTAAACTGAATTAAGTTAGCATTTTCCTTGTATTAAGTTGTGAAACAAGAAAGTCACACAAGAGAGATGTCATAGAAACTCCTTATATTGCTCTCAAAATCCTTACAATTCTTGGATGGTTTACGTAAATGAGAACCTCACATGGCTTGTTGGGATCGGTCAAGCTCAATACCAGCCTCTCGGTTCCACCTCTTTTCAGCTCCTTAAAGGCTTTTCGAAATTGTCCTATGTCTTGTTTTTCTTCAACAAGTCGGTGAGTGGGGCTGCCTTCTTCGAAGAGTCACGAATGAAACGACAATAGTAGTTTATCGATCGGAGGAAAGAACAAAGCTTGGGCATTGTGGGTTGGTTCTTATTGTTTTGAAATAGTTTTAACCTTTGTCACATCCATCATTAACCTCATGTCTTTAATCTTATGTCCTAAGAAGAGTACTTCCACTTTTACAAAGAAGCACTTTTCCCTTTTAACATACAACTAGTTCTCTCGAAGTAACTTCAACACGGTGTAAGTGGTCTACATGTTCCTCTAGTGTCGAGCTATAGATCACAATATCATTAAGGTAAACCACTGCATAATGATATAGGTACGGTTGAAATACTTTGTTCATTAAGGTGCAAAAGTAGTCGAGGCATTGGTCGGACCAAAAGATATAATAAGCAATTCATTATAATCATACTAAGGTGATTAAAAAGGAAGTGAATGCAATTGAAGATACATCTATCAATTTATGGCATAGATGGCTTGGAAACTTGAGTGAGAAAGGCTTTATTACTCTTGCCAAAAAGAACGTCATTCTTTTGGAAGGTATAAACATGAACACTTGTATCGATTGTTTAGTTGGTAAATAACATAGAGTGACATTTCATAGATCACAATCATATAGAAAACCTCATGTATTTGCATTAGTTTATACCGATGTTTGTCTATGACTAACAAGTCTTTTGGAGGTACTTTGTACTTTATTAGTTTTATTGATGATTGTTTTAAAAAAATTTAAGCCACTTGTTTGAAATCCAAAGATTAGATGCTTGATGTCTTTAAGGATTTCTATGCCGGGGTTGAAAGAGAAATTGACATAAACCCGAAATGAGTCTAAGTAAATAATGAAAGTGAATATAGGGGTCCATTTGAGAAGTATTGTGGGAGACATGACATTAAGCTTGAGAAGACAATTTCAAAGACTCCACAACAAAATGGAGTGGCAAAGAAAATTAATAGAACTATTGTTGAAAGAAGCAGGTGTAGGCTCTCTCATTCAAAGCTACTTAAGTCCTTTTTTAGATGAGATAATGATGATTGCAATTGCCATGATTAATCTTTCTCTATTAGTTCTTTTTATTTTGATGTGCCATAAAGAATATGAAAGGAAAAGGATGTTTTGTATGCATATTTGAGAGTGTTTGGTTGTAGGATTTTCATACATGTTTTAAAGATGAAAGTTCTAAGCTTAAAAGCAAGACAAAACAATGTGTTTTCTTGGATTCCGGTGATGATGAGGTTGGCTACGGAGTTATGGGATCTAAAAGAGAATAAAACTATCGGAAATAAAGCTATTATTTTCTTTTAAGATTAGACTATTAAAGATTTTAAACTAAAAAAGAAAATAGAGTCTTCTATTTCTACTCCTGCTATTTCGATTCAATGAGTTATCCTTGATGCTTTCCAATCATAAGGAAGATTTGGAAAATGATGATAATGATGGTTAGCCTTTTAAGCCATTAGTTGATGATCCCGAGCCAACTAATAATGATGATGATATCTTGAACAAGTTGTTCAAGTAGCACCATATAAACCACGATTGAAGAGGTTTAATAGACCTCGCAAAGCTTTCACAAAATATCTTTCTTGTCCATTTGTGTTGGTTATTAACGGAGGAGAGCCAAAATATTTTGATGAAGCTATATCGTATGAGAAGAAAAATGAGTACTTGAAAGCCATGTAAGATGAGATGAAATTCTTGCATGAGAACCAAACTTTCAAGTTAGTGAAGCTTCGTAAGGGAAAGAGAAAACTTTAGAGCAAATGAGTGTTTAGATCGAAAACTAAAGAAAATTGCTCACAACCAAGGTAGAAGGCAAGCTTAATTGTGCAATGTTTCGGTTAGAAAAAGGATATTGATTTTGAAAAAAAAAATTCATTCGTGGTCAAGATGTCTATAATTAGAGTTATGCTTGGTTTAGTTGTTAGCTTAAATTTTAAAGTTGAACAACTTGATGTGAAAATTGTCTTCCTCTATGATGATTTAGGTAAAGAGATCTACATAAACTTTCCCGAATGGGTTAAAGTAAAAGGCAAGGAGTGACTAGTTTGCAAGCTAAAAAAGATTCTGTGTGGGTTGAAAAAGCTATAAGACAATGGCATAGGAAGTTTGATTCCTTCATGATAGAGCATGGTTATGGTAGAACCACTTCGATCACTATGTGTTTATGAAAAAAAATAGTTGACGCGACTTCATTTTTCTCTTGTTATATGTAGATGATAAATTGATTGTTGGTCATAATGCTAAAAAGATTTAATGTGTAAAGAAAAGGTTGAGTAAGTATTTTTAATGAAAGACTTGAGAATGGTAAAACAAATTTTTGGCATGAAGATTACTTTTGACAAGAAGAATGAAAAATTTTAACCATCTCAAGAGAGATATGTGTAAAAAGTCCTTGAAAAATTTAATATGGACAAGTCCAAACCTATTTCTTCACCACTTACAAGTCACTTTAATCTAAGTTCTAAATAGTTTCTTTCAAATGATGCGAAAAGATATGAGATGAAGAAAGTTCTTTATGCATTCGTAGTTGGTAGCTATGTCGGGATTTATACAAGGCCAAACACAAGACATGCAATTGGTATGGTGAGTCGATTCTTCTTTAATTCGATAAAAAAATATTGGTCAATAGAGAAATGGATACTCATATATCTTCAAGGCATTTCTAGTTACATCTTGTACTTTGGTAATGGTAAACCTATGTTAAGTGGTTATATACATGTAGATATGGTTAGTGACATTGATTCTCGGAAGTTCACATTAAGGTATTCAATGACTTTTGTAGGGGTAAGTCATTTCATGGCGATCAAGGTTGTATAATACATCAATTATAAATCCATAATCATATATTAACTATAAACACATCATCATGTGTCTTTATTTTAAATTAGATTGAAGGGATTGTAAATGCAACCTAAGCAATACTTTTACACAAGTTAAAACAGAATCCAAAAACTTATAACAATTATTGATAGCTTAAGGATACAAATTTTACTTTCTATTTTCTAAACACCTATTGGGCTCGTCCAACTTTTCCATTTATACAATATGATTTGATCAATGCATATCCACAATATGCCTTAATCCAAAACAACCCAATAACTTTAATATTAATAGGAAGTGAATCTATTAGAGAAAGTAAGAGGGAAGCTTATATTGGTTAACATTTAAAATTAAAAGGAAGGAAAGATCTTGAGACTAACAACATAATAATATTTGAATGAGTTATATCTCAAGCAATTGAAATTGTAACAAATAGATAAAATCATAAAACAAATAAAGATAAATAAATGTAGGATTTTTCTATCTTTATCTATATTAACTCGAGATAGCTTGCTTAAGTCTTCAAAAGTGATCTAATAAATAATGGAAATAATCAAGGCATCTTCTAATAAATAAATAAAAATTACAATAACAAATAATAATAAATTTTATTTAAGAACAATCTAAGGATTGAAAATGAAAATTTTCATAATTAGTAAAAAAGGATTTATCCTATAATTGATTCTTATACTTGTTTAATTTTTTTTTATTGAGACCTTCTACTTTTTTTCAGCTTAATTGAAACCATTTGTTATTAGAAATTTATTGATTCGGACATTCTATTAATTGTTAATTTGACGTGGCATGTTAAAATTAATGATAACCAATCAT